CGTTATGAAAAATCACAAAAGATTATCTTTCAAATGGATCGTATAAATTTTTATCTGCGCAAAAAAATGAGGCTAGCTTTTTGCGAATGCTCATAAAAATATTCGAACTATTGAAAACCAATGATTGTAGAAGTTTTCACAGCCTTCCCAGGGAATAAAAAAACGAAAAAAATGCCATACTTCATAATGAAAGGGATATAATCATGTATGTTTTGTATTTTCATCGTTTAAAATGAAAGTTTCGCGAGTTACATTTCATGATTTTGATTTCTAATCGAAATCATTATAATGAAAATGATTAGAAATCAAAATCATGAAATGAGAGTGGTAAAAATTTTGATTTTAATCAATGAAAATAAGAAACATGCATAATTATATCCTTTTCATCATAAAAAACGCCATTTTTTAAATTTTTTTTACATAAGAGCCACCATTTGTTTTCATTTTTTTATTCCACAGGTATTAAATCTAAATGATTGCTACGACATGTAATGGGGAAGAGGGGACAAGCTGAAAAATCTTGACTCAAACCTACGATCACTGTTAGTTCCTTCGAAAATATATGTGAGTTTTATAAAACGTAAAAACATAATATTTAGAAGAGAAATTAGAAATTATAGGTTATAAAATAAGGTAGCCGTTGATATTAATTACTTCCTATTGTTTGTTGCTGTGGGAAGATATACAGTGATGTTTTTCCCAGCATCTGGTTACTATAATAAAAATTGAGGAGCCGTAAGACTTGAACTTAAACTTGCATTTACTAAATTCTTCGAAAATAATTGAGTGTCGAAAAAATCACAAAAATACGAGAGTCATAATACAAGACCCCCCTAAAAAAATTTTCCGCTTAAACATAATACAAGACCCTGGGTCTTTCAATATAGGGGGGGTTTAAGAAAGATTACAGTGTTTCAGTCCTTTGTTTCTCGACTAAGACTTTATATGATAGAAATACCACTGTTTGACTTCGGTTTTCGGTTATATGAAAGAACTGTATTTGTAAAATTGAAAATAGTGTATTTCATCCGCTCCATGAGAAAACTTCTTCAAGGACTAAAATTATATTTTTTCTCATCTTTTTTTTCGAAACAATGTCTGATAAAAAAAATGTGCTACTCAACTCAGCACTTCCACACTACATTGTTCTTCGTTTTTGCGTTGTAGCATCTAGTACAAAACAGTGAAATCAAAAATGTGATCTTGTGAAAAAAAGTTCTTGGCATATATAAAATCTTATAGTTACACATAAGACAGCAATGAAAATGATGAGTGTTGGTTTATTCTCATCAGTTTCTCACCTTGATAACAGAGTCTATAAGTCGTTTTGTGTTGATATAGCAACTGTAATATTTATTCATTTGCATTGATACAGTTTTTATAATAGCTTCTATCATTCATATTAAGACACCTTTACAACACTTGATTATATTCAAAAATATGATCGAATGATATTGATTATCTGTATATATAAAGAAGAAAGTTTGTTTGTTTGTTCGTTCTTCATGCATTTGGACACGGTACGAGCAAATGCAATGAAATTTTGCAGAGAATACCCTTTCGTCCTGAGGAAGGTCAAGACGAAGTTTTCGGGATCTGAGATAGGGTTTTAGGAAGGATTTTCCGAGGTTTCTGGAAAACCACACGAAAATTTCTTCGATTTTTCAATTAATTTCAAGATTTTCCCGAGTTCTTGACTACTCTCTTCCTGCTTTTACCTCTTTGCGCTGTCATTGACTCAAGAACTACTTTTTGATCCAAAACGTTCACTTCCAAGATATTTAATAGTGCCATTGGCTTTTAGTATGGTCTATTTCAATTTAGTTTGAATTCGATGAAATTAATCTAATTTCATTTCAAATTGGATTGTGCTGACTAATGAGAATAAGGCTGGCTAACTCTCATAGTAGGGATGACAGAGCCACTGAGAGAGAGATCAAAAGGAAGAGAGAAGATCAAAGGGAAGGAAGAAATAGACAGAATATCAAAGGCGGCACGGAGAGAGATCAAAGAGAAGAGATAGATAGAGAGATTTTGCATGTACCTTCTAGGATATGGGTGTCGATAGGTGTGGGTGTGGATTAGGTTGAAACCGGACCCACACCCACATCCTACTATGCCAATGATGCAATATCAAATTTGCCCGGGCAACGCCGGGTACTTCCGCTAGTTATCAATATAATAATTAATAAAGTTCATCGTTTATAGTTTCATTTTGATCGATCTAGATCTGTCCACCAATCATTAGAAGTTGTTGGAATATATTTATTTTAGTTTATTTATCAACTAATTACATCTATTATTTCTACACTTTTCTACATCAAGTTAACAAGAAGTAGTCCGTGAAAAAATGTACATAGTTAAAAAACTACACATAACAACAAAAAAATATTTATATTAATGTATATTCAAGTACACATTCTTTTTGTGTATAGTTCCACACATGATCTAAGTCACATGATCTCACACGCGCGTTAACCCAACCAGGCAGACAAATATAAAAGGCTTTATTAGTAAATGGCAAAGCACCAACAAAAGGTTCTTTGCCATCACAAACTTTATGAAATATTTCTCCACTATGACAATTATTGAGTGCTACAAACCGCTCTTCTGGAGCATTCTTCATGTGACATATACAAATGTAAGGAAGAGCTTTATCCGATGTAAAACCATGACAGAATGCTAGAATATTCGATGCTTTATTATCACATATATCTCCAGAACATAATCGATCTTGTGTTTGACAATGAACACCTGTATATGGAAAACGACAAGCACAATAATATGCATCAGCTGATGAGAAATCAAAACAA